TATCATGTTAACACTCATAGGTCCAAATACAGTGAATGTAGGATCTGTTATTGCTGAGCAGCTAGACTTCTGAGCTCGTTAAGAAAGATTAAGAATCCTTTTTGTTAAGCAAGTGACATGAATGTAACATGTCATAACCTGTTATGGTAAACTCAAAAAAGCTTATACTCCCCTTGAGCTACATTGGTAAACTCTTTGTTGTTTTGGAGAAAATATATCTCTATGTTTTTGTTAGAAGAAAATGGTACATATTTATATGCAAAAGTGGTTGACCTGCTTAGTATACTTTCTAGCTATCTTTCCTATTAATTTCCTACAACTACGGAAATATATAAATATACATGTAAAAGCCTATAAAAGGCATTGGCCTACTATAAATACGTACTTACTTTATTTATAAAACTCCTCTCAAATTCGAGAATAAATATTAATCATGCCTAACTTGTTACAGATAATAAATTCTTAGGACCTCCTACAGCTTTTGTGGAAGTATCACCCAATATTTTCTCCAGTTTAGACATGACCAATGGAGCATCATTCCTGCTTAACTTTTCTCCAAATCAAGTGACAATTAACGTTAATATTCTTTGATCTCTCATAAAAGACCGGACTTGAGACATGAAGAGCAGCTTGATTGCTCACACCACAATTTCACGATAAGCTTTGTACTTTCTGATTCTGCAATCTTTCGAGACACTACATTGTGCTTCTACTTGTTCTAGTGACACTAAGTTTCCACAAATAAACACACTATGCTTTAGTTGATCTCTAGTGCATTTTAGGACCAACAATATCTACATCTGAGTGTCTGCTTGGATCACTCCAAAACTCTAGTGGGACATCCCATAACTTCAGTATATTGTGCACTCTCTTGCCTTCTCTATATAAAAAGGAGAGATGATATATTTGCCTATTTGGACCTTCACATTTCTATGAAATTACACTATGGACTTTTAGTTGCAGCAACATATACCCTGAACTATTATATTGTTCTAAATAAACTTAACTGCTTAAAAAATTTGCTTGTTTTAACATCTTATAACATGTGAAACTCTTGGTAACAAATAAACTGATGTGGAAATAGTCGAATAAGGGTGTTGATGTCAGCTTTCCTGAAGGAGATATGGTAAGATGAAGATGGTAGAGTTACATTTACTTTTTAAGTTCTAATTTTTTGTCAAAAAAATTATATAAATTTTTGGACTAAAATGCCTTTGGACAAGTGTCAGTTTATCTGCTACCAATAAAGTTGTGTTGCAAGATTTTAGCTAACTGAAGATGTTTTAGTTTATTGGTTTCCAAGAATATCATATATCACATAATGGTAAAACTAACGTAATTTTTAGATAGATGGATTAATTTGATAGAATGTGACAGTAAATGTTGAACACTGTTACAATAGGAAGTACTTGATACAAATGCAAAAGAGTAAGGAATTCTTTAAATATCATCCCTGAAAAGGAAATGAAATTGTTGGTTTTGTGCAAGCAATGAAATGCTTCATGGGCTTTGGGTTTAAAGAGTACTCAAGTCAAAAGGTGATATGAGCCTTGGATAAGATGAGAGATATTAGAAGGTAAAATTCTATCTTAAGATGTTTATTATAGATGCAAAAAAATTCCATGCATATTGATAAACAGCATGTTCTTTTTTACTTCCATGATTACGGATGCATAGCCCAATATGAGATTATAAGGAATTCATACATTCAAAACATTTAAAAGAAAAAAGTAAAGGAGAAGTTTTTTGATAGTAATTGATAAAGAAAGAGATAGAAGAAAGAGTTAAAACAATAAATGAAATTTCCTGGCTATCCATAGACTAACCTGCACCCTTAGTAAAGCAATTTCTTGGGTGAAACAGCTATCTGTCCGCTTTGAATCATCAAGAATGGATTCTGAATTAGTAATATTAGCATAAGCCATATTTCTTGTCATAGCAAGAGACGGACTTGATTTCACTGATACGGGAGATGTCCCTCGAGAAGCTCGTCTTGAACCAGGAAGAGAAGTAGCCATAAAACTTTCTAATGAGGCCATATCATTGTTCAAATCTACTTTCCCATTGTGCTTGATGTCTTGGATCTTAGTATATTTGGAAGAATCAAAAGAAGAAAGCCTGGAAAGTTGAGCAAAGGATCTTGAATTTGATGTTTCTCTGTCTTCTACCTCATTACTATTAGAATGTATACTACCAGTTGATTTCCTAGGAAATGCCGAAGATGATATAGGTTCTCTTGCTTTCTTTAATTTATCAAAACAATCATCACAAACATGAAAAGGCTTGTTTTTAATTGGAGCCATAGCAGCTTTAGAAGATTTCTTACTGCTGCATGCTTTACAGAAAACTAGTCCACAATTGTAGCAGTTCTGACGCTTTCTTCTGAAGTTGAATTGATTATGACAAGCTGAGCATAAAGAATTATCAACACTGGAAATGGCTTTTTGAAGACAAATGGCAGCTGTATAATTGGAACCACATACCACTGTTTTTACTTGTTTCCATTTCAATGCTTCAACCAGCGTTGGGTTGTTTCTGGCTTTGTTGTCTCCATGACCTAATTGGCCATTTGCTCCTTTTCCCCAGGTGTAAACCTCAGCTTTTGAGCCCAGAGCAGCAATATGATGGGAACCACATGCTATCTCTTCAATGTAAGTGTTCTTGATATTGCCCTCAATTCGAGTAGGAAGTTTATTAGTGCTTCCAAGACTTCCAACTAATCCATGATTAGCAATACCCATCGAATACACATGCCCAGACGTTGTTAGAGCAATTGTAATGCTGTGACCACAGGCTACTCTGCGAAAGCTGGAACCCTCTGACACTACTACACAAGATGGAACTAGTCTGGGTTCTTTGTCACCGTGCCCAAGTTGGCCTTTATCCCCATCACCCCAGGTAAACAGCTTCCCAAATGGACTGTTATCAGAAACAGAGGTCTCAGTAGTAACCTCCACAATTGCAGCAGTGTGCCAAACACCACATGCTGTCATTACTGTTCGTAATCCTGTTAGTGTTTCAACTTCTCTAGGTATACTTGTGCTACTACGATCCCCGTGGCCGAGGGCTCCAAAAGTTCCATCCCCAAATGTAAACAACTTACCCACCGAGGTAACCGCAGCTGTATGCCAAGGTCCACAAGAGACATATGATACATAAATGCCCTCCCTCTGACCAAAAATTCTCATCGGTTTCCAGTGACTGACAGCACTACCAGAGCCACTAAGACCAAGACCATGAGTACCATCACCCCATGTGTACAGATCACCTGAAAGAGTTACAGCACAGGTGTGAAATTCCCCACAGGCAGCCAGTTCAATGGTTGACCCGCCAAGGGCATCGACAAGCTTTGGGTGAGAAACATCAGCTTCAACACCATGCCCAAGTCTGCCACTAGTTCCCTCACCCCAACTAAAGATCTGTCCCTGCTTCGTGACTAAGACAGCATGCTTCCGGCCACAAGCTATAAGTTGGGCATCAAGTGCTACTGTTGAATTGAGGGCCTTTGGTAAAAGGGCATCAATTTCAGAAGCAGTAGTACCAATTCTATGCATACCACCTCCCAACAGACCATTGCCAATTCCTTCCCCCCAAATAAAAACTTCACAGAGGGCATTTATATCTTCATGAGAAGAACAGTGGCTAGATGAACTGATAGCACTAGACAAACTACTTCTAAATGAATCAACTGCGGAGGAACGACAAGATTGATTATCTAAATCCTCACATGATAACGAGTTAAGGGACTTTGCAACTGACTCAACCCTAGAGATAGCCTTTACTGCTGTCGTACAAGATAAAACGTCAGAAAAAGCTTTTGCCAGTCTATTATTTGCAGAGTTCTCGTAAGGAACCGGAATGTTAGGAGCTTCTACTTGATCCTGCAAAGAAAAATATGTAAGAGACCATAACTTGGAATTAGTAAGTAGTTTTATCTCAAAGGAGAAAAAATGAACCAAGAAGCAACAGACCTTATAGATTATTTCACTACTGCAAGATGACACATTTGACGCAGAACTTTTTCGTGAGTAGTTATAAGTGCTATCTGATGAGAATCCATCATTTTTTGAATTGCACCTTAATTTGGTGGTGCTACCCCTTGAAATTAAGGCCTGAAGTGCAGCAAACCAGATCTCAGCCTCATCTTTGTCTTTGCATACCTGTCAGGGGTGCCCAGCAACTAGGAGTTATAATGCATTAATCCTTTTACCATGAGCATATAATACGAATAACACCCCAGACCAAAATTGTTCATTTAAAGGAGTAAAATAAAGAATGACAAAGATGTAGGCTGATCCATAAATTGACAAAACAAACAACTTTCATGTTATATTCCAACCTGTAAATAAAGTAAGAAGATTTCATGTGAACAAAGAAAATGCAAAATCTATTAAAAGGGCCTTCAATTTGCCTTCCAGTGGTAAAGTTATAAATGCTTGGATGACTAGATAATTCAAAGCTTTAGACCAATAGAAATTACCCAAACGATATTTTAATATGATCCATCACGTACAAAGGCTACATTAAACTAAGCAAATGAATAAAAACCAAAGACTAATGGAAGGGCTTCGCATGGTGGCCTACTAATGGATGTGGAAGAATGGAATCATATGTTTATTATCGAATAACAACATACTACATACACACTTTTTGAGTATAAAAAGGAGGCCTTTCAATTATTTATATACGGGTATTTTACTATTATGCCATTCTACCCTAATTATACATTTACTTTCCCACACTCCTCAAGTTGGTGAATAGATATTATCCATTCCCAGCTTGACAATGATTGTCTGGAATTTTACAAGTTGAGAATTGATAGATATGTAAGATGTACATGCCAAGCCACTATCTAGTTTCTATTTTATAAAATACCCGTTAACTTCATTATGTTTTGTTCTGTCATGTCGCATTGGATTGTGAGTAATGTTGATTGCTGATTAATTGTTACAATAAAATCTTATTGGATCATCCCTTTTAACTTAGATATTCTAATATCATCTTCAATTATAGTACCTCACATGCTCCTTGAGTCGTTGTCTAGGATTCCGATTTTGCATTACACCTTACAACCACGTTATGTTTCATGCTCTTCCATATAACTAAATTTCCTCTAAGAAAGGTGCAATAGTTGGTAATGGATCTTCTGTACAGTGCTGATCCAGCATGATAGTGTCAGTGTAGGCTTCAAAAAGTAACATGTTATTCCTCTTGAAAATGATACCCTTTTTTAGTGTCTTTTCAAGTAACGGAGAACTAAGTGTGCTGCTTGTAAATGCACTTCTTTGGGAGTGTGTATAAATTGACCTACCACACTTACCACATATGCAATGTCTAATCTTATATGTGACAAATAGATCAGTCTTCGAACCAGCCTCTGGTATGTCTCCTTGTTGACTTCTGTGTCTTTCTCTACTATTCGTAATTTGTGGTTGAGATTAATTGTTCTGCTAACAAAGTTTGCATGTCAGCTTACCTGCATTCTTTTGTAGGTCACTAATATACTTTTGTTGTGAGATGAAAATTTCAACCTTTGAGTGAACTACTTCAATTTCAATGAAATATTTTAATTTACTAGTTCTTTAATCTCAAATTTTTTAACCAAACATTTTTTGGGCACTAATTTCTCATTTTCATCATTACCTATCATAATAATATCAATTGACATACATCAGAAAAGTTGTAACTCCTCCTGAGTTTGAGTGCTTTATGAACAGGGTAAGGTTTTCTTGACTCAGATTATGTCGCATTGCCAACATTACCTTTGTAATCTTCCAAACTATGCTACGGGTGACTGTTTGAATTTATAAAGTTCTTTTTTTAGTCTGCACATTTTATTTGCTCTTACATCTTTGGTGAATCCTAGTGAGACCTTTATATAAATTTTCTCTTGAAAATCTCCATACAAAAAAATATTTTTCACATCAAATTGTTCTAATTGCCAATCAAAATTGGCAGCTAGGAACAACAGGACTTTTACTGTATTCATCTTGGCAACTGGTGCAAAAGCCTCTTAATAGTCTATCCCTATAAGTCTATATATATCATTTGACCACCAGTTTAACTTTGTATCTTTCTTTGGTACCATCAGCCTTATACTTTATTGTGAATAACTATTTGCATCCCACAAATTTCTTTCCTTTAAGTAAGTCCACTACTTCCCAAGTTTGGTTTTTCTCCTATGCCTGTATTTCAACATTCATGGTTTCCATTTCTAACAAGATAATATCTCAGATAATTTTTTAGGAATAGAAATTGTATTTAAACTCATAATAAAATTTTCTTTGAGATGGAGAACGTATCAAATCACAAAAGATTCCAAATCAGATATAGTTGGTGTTTAGTACATTCCCTAATTCTTTTTCTGAGTGCAATGGATATATCCATGTTAAAAGACAAAGGATTTGCGGAAGTTTCCTCATTCTCGTAACTGAATTCAGATGCTTGAACTCACTTTGATTCAAGATCCATATCTTTCATTCTTAAGTATGCCTGAGAGAACTGTGGGTCACACAAATACACATTTTCTGGACCTTGTGTCAAGTTTCTGCCTTTCATCTTGATGCCTGTGACCACATACTACACAACCAAAGATTCCAAAGACAAGATGGTTTGTGATCCTAACCTCAGGATAAAAGGGAGAAAGGAATTCTAATAGACCCTTGGACCCAGAAGCTGTGGTTTGTTGTTCAAGCACCTTACATGCACTTGTAAAAGACACTGAAGGTGGAGATTGGCTATTCCAAAGCTTGGTCATGGCGCTAGTTCACTAAACTACATACATTTTGCAAGTCTTAGACATTGCAAAGCACACAGATAGCATAGCAAGCAAGCGCAGAGGCACTCAAGCTTGCAAGGCAGAAGCACACTGTGAATGGCACCGAGTGTGCGAGGACATGTAAGAAAGGCCGAGGGATGTTGTTGTAGGTGAATGCGCAGCAACGGGCTGACACTTATAAGTGCTCCACAAGGGGTAAGCATGAGGGAGCGCACAGTGGTCTACCACGACCAGTGCAAGCATCGAGTGATGGGGACACTGGTGGGCACTTGGCAAGCTCTATGCACATAGGAGCATGTGCTAAATGTGGACATTGGCAGCAGACAGTACGCACGAAGAGAACTATATGCATGCATCAGTTGGGAAGTCATGGGCGTGATTAAAGATTTCATATTGAGTAACACAAAGGACTATGGAGTGTTGTTAACAAGCTGCATGTTTCAGACATGGCTGGATCAAAACAAGCGGTTATCTAGAGTTATTGAGAACTAACACAGGATTGGCTCCTTCTGGATGGGGATTCCAGGCTAAGTGACATGTGAACTTGGTCTGAAATACAAGCATGTGCTTGTTTGCATGTGTGACATATCACCTATGTGATTTGGGGTGTCAACCACCGAGATAAGTGGCATGTGCCATTGTTCTAGCCTCTATATATAAAGAGGGCATTTCTGTACACACATAGGAGGATGTGAGAGTATAGTGAATGGGGTTTTTTTTTGGGCAAGGAAAAATTGTTCACATATTGTAATGCTAAAGGTTTCCTTTATTTAGGTTAGGAGTTTTTCTGTAATTTTTATGTTCCTTATACAGAGTATTTGACTATGATTATCCCTAATTCTGGAAATTGGCTGTCTCTCTTTGTTGTTTTTTTAATATAAAAAATATTATTAGAGAAGGGAGAAACAACTTACAAGATTAGAGGATAAGACATCCTCTAAAATTCCTCCTAGCTAGAACGGATGCAAAACCAACCAATAGAAAAAGTCATCACATAAGGGCACCCTATAAATAATTTGTTTATGCTTAGGTACTAATCGTTCTTTCCTCCTTCAGTGGAATGCTTGTTTCTGAGTCATCAAGTCTGAATCGGTTGGTTGTTAGTTCACAATAGTTAATGGTTTCATTTTATGGAAGTTTTTGCCCTAATTTTGTAGTCCATCCTTTTTTATTCGTAAGAGAGGAAGAGGAAAGCTCCTTTGGGTGTGTCTACCCCTTCTCTAAGATCCAAGATCATTGGTTATCCATGGATGCTCATCTTAGTGGATGCCAATACCAGAACAAACATACATCACTTTTTCCGTTGGAAATAGAGAAAATAGCAAAGATGGTTAGGAAAATTAAGTCCAAAATAAAATTATTAACCAAAGAAGATAGCAGCTATGAATTTAGATACCAGATAATATGGTTTCAGTTTTTTTTTTCAAATGCAAACATATAAGCTAGGTTTTTAAGACTCAATAGTTTTTTGTGAGAGATTCTAGTTATGCTAAAAGAGCTGTTGGTCATTAATTATGCATTTGAATTAACCTGATACAAGGATTACACCCTGAAGCACAGAATTAAAAACAGAAGCACTTAAAAATACTAAGATCTTGATAATAATTAAATTAAGTTGGGAATGCATATACAGAAACCATTTGTTAAGAAAATTGCTGTGGGAAAACATAAATGTATACTTTGGAGGGAAGTACTCCCAAGATGAGACCAAGGAAGGATAGAACACTAACCAAATCCAATGACCTCCCACTGTATATGAGAGAAAACGACTGATATTCCTTTTCAGGTTGTGGGTACCGCTGAAATATTACCTGACAAGTCATACAAAACAACATATCATCTTGATACAAATTGATTCTCATGAAAACAAGCACTCTCATGAACTGATACTTAAGATATTGACATAAGATATGATTTTCCTTTTCTTTAATCTGACAATTGAGTTATTAAAGCATTAATTTCTGTTTTCCACTGTTTTCCTGCAATCAATTGATTTTGGTGAGAGAGGCATGTAGTGAGGGAGAGATGGGATAGGGAGTTAAGAGGCAGAGAGATGCATATGTATGATACATGTGGTGGCTTTCCAGCAAGTTTATAAGATAAAAGACTAGTAGATCCTAGTTTAAGACTGTTGCCATAGATAAAAAAGCATTTAATTTATGTAGCCTATATATTTTATATTAAAAAATATTTTTAGTCTGTATATTTTATATCTTTCCATTACTAAATTATATAACTGCAACTAGAGAGATATCAGCCTTAATCATTGTAAATTGCTAGAAATTAATTTTTTAACTTTTGTATATTCACCTATTTATTCAATGAAAGAATGACAGAAAATGATCAAACCATTCAATCAAAATTATTCTAAATCAAAAGTTATCATGACATTAGAACCCTAATCATAGAGTTTTATAATTTTTTTGTTCTTGGTGTTATTTGAGTTTTAGGCTATTGCAGATTGTAAGTTTTCATTTGTGTGATTTTTCGTCAAAGCAATATTTTTTGCTACTTTTGGTTGAGTTGCAGATCAAGTTTGGGTGGAGAGAAAGCTTACATATTTTGGTAATCTTTCAGTTATATTCGGTTGCTTATCTCTCTACATTTGAGTTAATTTTGAACTACTTTATATAGTAAAAATATTTGGTAATAAATATGAATTTTATGTTAAATTAACGGAAAAAAATTATTCAACATGAGAATTTCAATTTTGATTATGTCACTGGAAAAGAATTACGGGTACCTTGATAGCACTGATCCAACACCAACAGATGCTATTAAATTGGAGCAATGGTAGATCAAGGATGCTAGGGTAATGTGTTGAATTATTGTGTCATGTAAACCTCAATTGATTCTTAATTTACGTTCATATAAAACTGAACAAACAATGTGGGAGTATTTGAATAACCTATACAATCAAACAAATTTAGCCAAGAGATTTTTGTTGGAGTGTGATATTGCAAATTACACCCAAAAAGTCTATCTATTTAGAAATATTTTCTAGTTTTCAAAATTTATGCGTAGAATTTTCTGATATAGTTTATGCAAATGTGTTTAAAGATTCTCTTCCTGATATTTTGGCTATTCATGAGATTAGAAAGCGTGACCAATTTTTAATTAAGTTACAATCAAATTTTGAAAATGCTCATTCTAATCTAATGAATCATTATCCTCTTCCATCATTGGATGTGTGTTTTAGTGGATTAATTCGCGAAGAACAACGTATTCTTACACAAACCACTCTTGAACAAGAGAAGATGACTACAATATACGTGACATTTTCAACTTAAGAAAAAGGCAAGGGAAGAGATATGAGTAAAATTTAATATTTTAGTTGCAAGAATTATAAGCATATTGCTTCAAATTATAACAAGAAATTTTGCAATTATTGTAAAAAATAATGACATTATCAAAAAATGTTCTATTCGCCCTCAAAATCGCCAGACCATTGCTTTTTAAGTAATTATTGACAGCTCTTCCAATGATCAGACTCAGACCGGGCCCTTGGCCACATCAGTTAATCAAAATGTTGTTCTTACTCCTGAAATGGTGCAATAAATGATAGTTTCAGCCTTATCAACTATGGGGATTCAAGATAATAGTAATTTTTCATGTAAGACTTGACTTGTTGATTCTACCACAACAAATCATATGACTGGTTCAGCTAATTTGCTGAAAAATATTTGCCTCTATCATGGTTCATAACTTATTCAAGTTGCAAATACCAACAATTTGTCCATTATTGTGGTCGGTGATATTACTTCAATTTTTCACGTCGTCTATCTATCACCTTAACTTTCTAATAATCTTTTTTTAGTTGGTTAGTTAGTTGATAATAATTATGATGTACATTTCTCTCGCGATGATTGTTGTGCGCAGAATTAGGTATCGGGGATGATGATTGCAAATGGGTTTAAAGTTGGACGCTTGTTACCACTACATATTTCTATTTCTAATAATATTTTCTTAACTTGTTCTAATGTCATTTTAATAATAGTAAGGTTTGACACAAACGTTTGGAACACCCCAATTCGACTGTAATGTCTTATTTATTGAATTCTGGATTATTAAGTAATAAAAATCAATTCTCAGCTCCTTTTAGTTGTGCAACTTGTAAATTAGGAAATAGTAAAATTCTTCCATATTTTATTACTGGTAGTCATGCAGATAAATGCTTTGAAATTATTCATAGTGATGTATGGGGAATCACACCGATTATTTTTCATACACATTATAAGTATTTTGTGACATTTACTGATGACCACAATCGGTTTACTTGGATTTATTTTCTTTGTTCCAAGTATGAGGTTCTTTCAATTTTTAAGATTTTTGTTTCATGTCTTGAAACTCAATTTTCTATTGCCATTAAAATTTTTCGATCTGACTCTGGTGGAGAATGCATGTCTAATGCGTTATATGAACTTCTAAATGAAAAATTTATACTCTCACAACGTTCTTGTCCACACACATCTCAACAAAATGGTGTAGTAGAGCGAAAGAATCGTCATCTCTTAGAAGTTACTTACAGATTGTTACTTGAATTTTCTGTTCTAGCTCAATTTTGGGTAAAAGTTTTATCTCTAGCAACTTATTTTATTAATAGACTACCTTCTCAAATTCTAAACTTTGACTCTCCTTATTTCCATCTTTATCAACAACATTCTCACTATGAGCATCTACATACGTTTGGTTGTGTTTGCTTCGTTCACTTGTCCCCTCATGAACGCCATAAACTTTCTACTTAATCTGTCAAATGTGCATTTATAGGATACAGTACAAATCACAAAAGTTTTGTTTGTTATGATTATTCTTTTAAGAATTTTTGTGTTTTCTTTAAAAATAAATTTTTTTTTTCACTCGTGATCAATCATTCCCTGATGTAGTTATTCTTCCTAATTTTTATGATTTACCTTCTTCTCCTTATTGGTTCAAGTCTGGGTATGTGTATGAACGATATCCTTTGCAACTACCCCTTTTGATCCAGATTCACCATTTAATCCTACACCACCACCTTTGAGACGCTCCAGAGTTTCCGTTGATTTTTGGAGAAAAAAGATAATTTTATTTTTTATTGTTTAGATTGTTATATTTAAAATATTTATAAAATTTATAACTTATTAATAAGAAAATTCTTATTTTAATAGAATTATAATAACATGAAATTATTATTTTCATAAAATTTTAATTATATAATATTAAATAATTAATTAATTAATTAATAAAATAATAAAATATGGTATTTAACACTCCCTTCAAGTTGGTGTAGCGATATCAAAGATACCCAATTTGCATATGAAGTTGCAAACCCGAGGTGTACACGCGCGGAAGAGTCCAAAAAAGACCAAAAAAAACTGGTTAGAGCGGCTTGCATGTAAAAGAAGTAGATCTGTGCCGGATCATGAAATTAGAGGCGGGCACGCATAGAAAAACTGGAAAAATGACTAAAAAAGGCTGGTCAAAGCGGCTTGCGCGCAAAGAAAGCCTGGTTGTGAAATCAGAGGTGGTCCCGCACAAAGGACCAAAGAAGGTTGGTTGTAGCAGCTCGCGAGTGGAAGAAGCAGATCTATCTGGTAAGACAGCAACTCAGCTTGGCTCAAAACGGCTCAAAGTCGGCTAAAAGAAAGGCTTAAAGTCGGCTCAAAAACAGCTCGGGCTCGACTCCTTCGCCGGACAGAACTGACTTGCCGCGGCGCTAACGTTCTTCTTCTGCCGCGTCGCGCATCAGTGGTTGTGCAGATTTGGATCCGATCTGCGAACCCCGAAAACAATCGGATCAGACATTCTGTTCTCCCCGATCTGGTCGAAGGCAGAACTGAAGCAAGCTGATTAGCAACTAGGAAGCCTCTGGAACCAATATCTTCTTGTCAGACGCAGACGCAGATGCACCTGGAAGCTAGAGCCGGAAAGTAAAAACAGTGGAAATCGCGGATCAGAAGCTGTGCGAAGAGGCAGAGGTCAAATCAGAGATCGTATGTGAACCAGTTGCTGCGTGCGAGGGAGCCATAGAAGAAAATACTGCAAACCAGAGGCTGTGCGCAAGGAAGCAGCGCGAACAGCCGAGTGCGGCCGGAACAGAGAGATCGGGTAGGTCGGAAACGCTCACCAGAATAGGGCGGCACGCAACCAATGAGGTTAGGACTCCGTTTGCCTGGGTGGTAAGAATATTTTAGGATTTTTAAATAAATTTTAAAATTAAAAATCTTAAAATATTTATTCTGATGTCATATTAATTTTTTTAAAAAAAATATAATTTTATTTTTTATTTTTTAAATTATTACACTTAAAATATTTATAAATTTTTTAAGTTATTAATAAAAAAAAATTTATTTTAATAAAATTTTAATAATATAAAATTATTATTCTCATAAAATTTTAATTACATAATACTTAATAATTAACTAATAAAATAATAAAATATGGTATTCAACAGTTTTTTGTCCATCTAATTGGTATGGTCTTTATCATACATTATTTGGTGTTGTTTTATCTTTTATAACGGTTCCATATTATTATTCACAAGTAGTTAAGAATGAGTGT